CTGTTGTGCCTTCAGAGTGAGGCCAGCGCTAGTTCCTCAGATGTGTCCTACATGTGTCGTCTCTTGACTCACGTGTCTCAATAGATTTATTTTATTAAATCACTCTTGGCTCTCCTGGAAATGAAGGGACAAATTCAGTGGGTTTAATGAAAGAGATTTCAGATGACTGGAGAGTTAACTTGTGGAACTAACTTCAGCTTCCACAGGGCACAGTAGCTGTCTCCTGGACTATCATTCTGCAGAAACAATGAGTAAACTCCAATTTTACAAGGATATTATATAGTCTGACAAATAGTTAAATCATTACTAACTACAAAGTGAAAAACAAAGGCATCTGTAGAAAATGCAGCTTATAGAAAATTCATATCCTATTTTCTCATTGGCCTACCTTACGTGAGAATGTCTAGGTTGACTGGTATTTGCCTTCACAAATCTTTCCTTTCTATTGCTTGGTCTGCCTTTGTGATCTGAAATAAAATTAAACAGCAGGTATCACATTGAAACATTTAGCTTGTGATCAACTATCACAGGTCAGCTTGCTGAGCGTCTTGTTACTTAACAACTAGTATAAAAGAAATAGAGTATAAAGTTAAGAGAAAAGAATTTCAGAGAATCATGTTCACCCAACTGAGAAGTGAGGCAAAAGACCTAAGCAAAAAGGAAGATTTCTTCATCCCTCCTCACATTTGTGTCCATCTCTGATCTGCCTCTCTTCAGATTTACTTCCTTTTATAAACCGTCCATGTTCTTTTTACCTTGTCCTACTTTCCTAACCCTCGGGAGGGCTTTAAGAAGCTTTCAAAGCTAAGCATCCCCAATTGCTTCAGGCGGTCTTTGCTTGTAAGTCAGAATATAAAGCAATTACCTGTAGGGTAGGACGTGCTCGTGGCCAAGGGGAGAACATTCACCATATCAGCAGAAAACTGTTCGGTGCGAACATCTGGCTCAGATCCCTACCCATTTCTGTGAAGGCTTTATGGGTTACTGTTCCTCACTTTTGTTGTGCTCCCCCCTTCATTTTTTCCAAAACGAGGTGTATATTCATACAGCAACATAATGGGTTTTCGTTTGATCCACATACCTTGTGGTTGACAGATGTTTGATTGTCTAAACTATATTAACTAACAGTTCTGGAAATGGCCATATCACTTTAATATTAGAACTTTACATTCTAAAATAAGGGGAAAATGACATACTCCAGTATTTTTTCTTGTTAATCTTCAATTCAAAGAACTTTGAGAAGCATCCATGGGATATTAGTGGAACTACTGTCTGCAGTAACTTGGATTCTGCCTCTCTTTCTGTTTTTCATGACACATTACACTATACCCCTCTGGAGTCAAGAAAGGACACTTGCAAAGTTCCCATCCAGACCAGAAATAGAAAATCTCCTCTGAGATTCTTCCATTTGAGCACTTAACTGAAGGGAAGATCCAGCATCCAGAGCCAGCATACAAGACATACTCCTTTCTGCAGCCACACACTATGGCACAAGGAAAATAGTGTAGCATGTGATCCAATATGTCACCACACAGAGTAAACAGGAACTGCACAGGTTTTAGAGTTAGACCAACCTGGGTTCAAATATCAGAGTTGTGTTGTTGGGGCCTCAGGGGGCCACTATTTTATATGCCTCTTATCTCTACTTGAGCTATTTGAGAAAATTAAGGACACACAGGAACACGACCAAAGGAAATAAAAATGTCAGTCTCATTGCTGATGAAACTGTTTGGAAGATGTGGCTCTAGATCAGCCGCCAGGTGGCTTGCAAATTCATCGCCCCATAAGGATGGAGACTTGCCATAGACTGGGCTGGAAGCAAGGTCACCTCGGAAGGGGCCTGCCCTTGTTACCGCTAGACTGTGGACAGGTAGAAAACAGGCAGACTCTGTGAGCACTTCGTAGGGGTAGCCTGGATATGAAAAAAAAACACAAAAAACCCAAGAGGGAAGGGGCAAGGGGGCGCTACTCTGGGCTCTTGTTTCATATTCACCCGGGAGGAGGGCAAATACAAGTTTGTGGAGAGAGGCCGGGAGAACAGGGAAATCTGAGGTGGAGGGATGATGATTATCTCACAGCAAATATCACATAACTGTCTTTGGACAAATTACTTAACATTTCTGAGTCTCAGTTTTCTTGTCTATAAAATGGGAATAATATATCAACCTGGCACCATTGCAACATTATATTAAAATGTGTGTGTGTGTGTGTGTGTGTGTGTGTGTGTGTGTGTGTGTGTGTATAACTGCCCATATTAAGACCAGCCACTAAATATTGCTGACTTACTGCACAGTCTACCCACACTCCTTCTTCCTAGAAACTAGATCAATCAGAGATGTGTCAAGGTAGAAGCTGAATCACTCCTTTCTTTGCTAGGATTAGACATGGTTAACCAGGAGAGGAAGAAAGAAGGCATATCAAAGCGACTAAGTATTATTTAAAACATCTACTCTGTGCAATCTATTGCCAAACTTTGCAACAGCATTTACTTTTGAATGGCGTCAGCTTCCAAAGTTAGAATTACTGCTTTTCAGACAAATGTTCACATCTTCATAGTCCTTTAAATGTACAAATGGTGTTCGGGGATGCAACATGTGTGTGTTTTATGTTGCATTTACAAGACAGAGAGGCCCCCCGTCCATCAAGGCTCCCATCCAACGCCCACCTCTCCAGCTCTTTGTGGGATGACCAGAGACTCTGTGGTTCTCCAGGATGTGGCAGGCTTGGTCCCACCTCATTTCATTTACTCTGTTTTTCTTGAAGTTTAGCCTTTTACATCCAGAGGCTGGGAAACATCAATGAATGAGCTGACTGTAAAGGAGAGAAGGAGAGATGCATATAATACCAGGTCTGGAGCCGTGTGCTCAGGGTGGGGAGCTGAGGTCTCGGTGCTGCTCCTGCACAGGCTCTGGAGGGGCCTCAACAACAGCCTCTCCACATTCACCTCCTGATTTTACCTGGACGTGTGTGGAAAGTCCTCACTGGACTCTCACAAAGATTAAAAATTAATTTTATGCATTGATTTGTGTTGCCATTCTTACTCCCACAGTTTTGACATAGTTTAATGAATTTCTTCTTTAGATGTGTTCAGTGCTAAGTTGATGTCTGTTCCGCTCAACCTGCACTGCATTGCTGTAGCCCATTTTAGTGGCACACTGTCCAGTGGTGTCTTGGGCTTGCTGTCACCTTTGGAGGTGTCTCACTCACAGCTCGCAGCCAGCTAGCACCCCAACTCTGACGATTCTGCCTTAGAAAGAGAAATCACAGGCACTGACTCCAGTCTGCTCCCCACGGACCACGTGCAGGGTCTCATCCCCTGCTGTTGGTAAGATACACTCCCCTGTCTCCTCCTTCTGGGCTGCCTTCAGCTCTATTACTCTAAAACGCAGGTTACAGCAAGAATCTTCTGCTCAGAAAACTCTGGCAGCTTCTCCCTTCTATGAGATACATTCAAAATACCTTGGCAGCATCTTCACATAACCATAGGATGTTCCCAGCCTCATATCCTGGTCCGCCCACAACCTTCTAGAATCCAGTCCTCTGCACCACTGGCGCTTGAGTCCTCCATGCACTTTCGCATGCAGAGCCCTTACAGGCACTGCTCCTTTGCCAGATAGAGCATTGATGCTTTTCATACCTGTTGAAATCTCACTAGGGCTTTGAGATCCAACTCAAACCTCATGTCCTCCGTAAGGTGGCTAATCAAATCTCTTCTAAGCAAATGTATGTCAGCCTCTTTCTGTGAATAGGTTCCTGAAGCCTGTTTATATTTTCTCAACAACCTAACATAGAATGGATATACTCAGTGAACTTCTGTTATTAATTGTATTAGACCTGGGTCTTTCCTCTCATTCAAGCCACTTCAGGACATTTACCATGTCTTCATCTGTTCAGCCGGATTTTAATCTTACCTTTATCTTTTCAAGTGAAAAGATACAAGTGATTACTAGCTGGACTCTTGGGTGTTGACTGTTGATTATAGCCTTGAATTAAATAGCAAATTGCCCAGAACTTTCTTTCATATTGTTAAATCTTTCCATATTCCTGGAGATTTAAAGTATTTATAAACCATTCTAGGCAGGGTTAACTTTGGAGCACAGATTTGATATAGACTCTCTGCAACAACAGAGAAAGATTTTCTGCGTCAGAAAGAGCCCGTGAGGAAAGAAATCCATCAATACTTCCTTCTGTCTACTAAAACTACTGACATTTGAGGATATGGAAATTGGAAATTTTAGAAAGCATCTAGACAGTTCAACTGTTGCAGAAAAAAGGTAACTAAGGTATTTGGAGACCAAAGTTTTATCAACCACAGACAAATTTTAGGATGATATCATGTAATATTTCAAATAAGCAACAAAGCTGGTTTTTTACCCTCGTTCATAATTCACTTAGCATTGATTGAAGGCCCCACAGGTGCATGGTATTTAGGCAATGGAATTGTTACTTGAGAAATCCGACCAGAACATAAAATCCAGTGTACAAAAATTGGGGTTACTGTGAAGGAAAACCAGTAGGTGAACACATCGAGTATGCAAAATCCTGCCCTGGGCACTTTAGTAAAATATATCTTTATCTTGTCTCTTGTTTTGGGGATGTCAGAGTCTTAGCACTGGTGCAGCGTGAGTAAGAAGGAAAAGACAGCAACACCCATTCATAAAACCATTCATAAGAGCAGTTTTAAATCAATATTGCCATTGTCGCATCCTGCTTGATCTTCCTACTTTGGGTTAATCTGGGAGCCAATTACAGCTTCATCTGTGTAGAATTAACTTTATGGAACACACACCAGGGATTTGTGTCTCTTCACTATTTATATATATGTCATAAAAATATGTGTGGAACTGAGTGCAGGCACTGCAGATGGCGGTGACTTTCAGATTTATTGTAAAATCATTTAAAATTGGTTATACTCTTGCCAGAAGTTAATTAATTTTTTTCTCTTCTTTCTTGGGGCTGGGGGGGTTGGCAGGGGCTGGGGGGGGTCTGTGTCTCACTAGGTGGCAGTGTATGATTGTATGTGGAGAAACCATGGCGTCAAGTCCGGCATCTCCAGCTGTGACCTACAACAGCACAATGGAATTTCTGTGTCTGCACTTGGTCCAGAAGATAGTATTCCTCATGTATCTGTATACACAGTTTATCCCACTGGGTTCCAAGAGCTATACTGCCATTTTCTCAGATTCCCCAGCGGTGCCACTGTTGAGGTATGTACATATGAAACCAATGTTAATTCAAATGCTGTGTATGTTGTATGTAGTGCATGACTGTTCCTGTGTGTGTGTTTATACGTGATTTCAAAGCCTTCAAAATTACTTTGCAAACATATTGCAAATAACGTTTGAAATACCGTAATAGACTTAAAGATACAGTTTAGTGTTTTCCTAAAGAAACAAAGTTATATATAAGGAAAAAATATTTCTGCACATAGCTATGTGGGAGAGAGGCAGGAAACAAATCAAGGGAAATAATTCAGGATTCTGCCTATGATAACACTGGCTCAGTTAATATTTGGAAACATGAACAGGGTGACAGAGAAAGATTCTCTCAGTCTATGGACACTTCATGTCCCAGGCAAGTGCACAGCCCTTTGTGTGAATGATTTCACACTGAATGAATGACATGTTGGCATTTCATTTTTTTTTGCACAAGAAAAATCTTAAAAAAGTAAAGAAAAGCCCCATCCCTAAATCTTTAAACACTTTTTAAAGTAGTGTTTGACAAAGATCTTGAAAAAATGTTTCTCCCTAAAAAGTCAGCATCTTTAGGTGACTGACTCTGAGTTTCAAAAAACCTCTCACATTGCACCATATTCTTAGAATTCGAATTTTATGGCATGATGAAACCTGAGATTTGGTGCCATCTGCATCAGTGTTGTTGAATTCCAAAGCCTGAAAGACTGTTATTTTTCATTATTTGGTGGAAATGAAGGGTGGAGGAGAAGGAGAATTCAGAAACATATAGTGTTTGGTCCCTGGTCTTGCTGGCATGGAAATCACTTAACAGTGGTACAATATTAGTTGGTAAGAATTTGTAGAATAAGAATATTTATGTCCCCACCATCCTTTCCCTATGGACTTTAGCCATTGTTATGTTTGTTATGAAGTTAATGAAAATATGGAGAATATAGTCAATGGTTTTGTAACATATCTGTGTTGACAGATAGTAACTGCATTAGCGGGGGCGAGGATTTAAAAATGTGGGTAACTTTTGAATCACTGTGCTGTACATTTGAAACCAATGTAAGATTGCTTATCAACTATACTTCAATTAAAAAAAAGTATGCCCTCATAAGAGTTCTTTTGAATGTAACAGTGAAGGAATCTCAAAGTGTTTAGGGCCTAGTCTTGTGGACAGGCTACTTCTTCTTTCTCTTATACCAGCCCAGACAGAGTCCGGGTGCTCGAGTAACCTAGCACAGACTCTCTACTCAGAGAAGTACAGATGTGCCAGATAAGATTTTCCTTAGTTCACCTCCTCCTCCCTTCCTGAAGTGTGACATAAGAGGGAATTGTGTGTATTGCGGCAAAGCAATAGGTAGGGAGACCATGACAGTATCTGATGTAATTCTCTGGGGACTCGGGTCAAAGGTGCTATTGGCATTCGTGCACATGACCCTTGTCAGACTTCTGAAACATTGCTTTGGAAATTTTCTTGCAGAAAAAACTGCCAGGGCTTAGCTTTTTAAAAAAGTTTGCATAGATGTGCTTAGGTATATATATATATATATATATATATATATAAGTCTTTTCCAAAGTATATAGGTGCACACTGTAAGCTGAAATACCTGCAGGAGCCAGGTTGCCAGGGGTGTCTGCTCTTCTGCTACCAAACATCTTGTAGCTTGTAGGTCTTGGACCCTGTGAGGGAAGCCCAGGAATCGAATGGTCTATACTCATGAGCAGAGCAATCACAAGGGCCCTTTGATTCACTCACTTCGGCATTTGCTCCAGAACGGTGGCTCAGTCATTTCCCACTGCTCTGCCTGCATCCTTACCTGTAAAACTGGGTTATGAATACTTGTACTGTCGGCTTCTTGGGGATCTGGAGCAAATTAATGTGATAACTTCTACAAAGTACTTCTAGCTCTTTTTATAAAAATATGCAATAAATATTACAAAGTATTATGGATTATGCACAATTAAATTCATTCAAATTGTACACAGTTTTTCAAGTACTGATATTAAATTACTTATATTAAAAAAATTACTTTTGCTAAAAATAAAATACATTCACTTCTAGAAGGACTGAATGGTAGGCAATTGGCAGTACTGACCCATCTGACTTTTTCATTGCCTATGCTTTTAACCCCACTATATTATATGATGGTAATGGTGGAATGGTGACAGTAAGGGTGCAAATATACCTGGTCACTTCTGAGCCTGTGCCCAGTGGAGAGTTTGGCAAATACTAAGCCAGCTTCTCCTTTTTCAGGTTCCAGCAAAGACACAGGGGTCTGTCTTTCTCACTCTTGGGTCCATAGTCTAACACTACCCACTTATTTTTCTCCATGCCTCACATTACCTGCTTTCTGCTCTATGAAACCTGTGCGATCGGTTTCAAACCTACTCATTCCCTCTGCACCATTCTAATACTTATCACAAATACTAGATTTTATTCTTTATCCTTTCCAAACTGGCTTCCAGTATTAAATTGTGTTTCCTAGAGGACAGGGACCATATAGCAGTTTCAGTTCCAGAGCAAATTGAAAATTAGTCAAGTTTTCTTTCAGCTGTTCATCTGGCTATTCTACAATGTTCCTATTTCCCTTTATGTCTCTCCTGACCCCTAAGAGGTTCTGCCAGGTCCATTGCTGGCCTTCTGAGCTATAAAATCTGAAACTGGAAGGGATTTGACACTGGTGTTTTGCAACCTTAGTGAGAAATGAATTTCATGTATTGTATTTCCTAGCAATGGATGTATTGTAAAGAAATTTCAAATATCAGTCCCTAGGTAGATTTTCCTTTCTGGATTAAAGCAATATCTATTAGACTTTCCAAATTAGGGTTTATAAGTAATCACCTACTTGGATTGATGTTAACTTCTACCCTTGGGTTCCCTGTCCCTGTACTAGGTGTTTTGTCACACTCAAGGAAATCTACTAAGTTGCATTGAATCTCTGGATGCCGAATCATGCTGTATGTTTGGTAATTAGGTTCCATGATATCCTTTTCATTAATACCCACATCGTGTGACTTGAAGGCACCTATACTTTGGAAAAGACTTAGATCACTTAGAGATGCCTGTGGGACCCACGCCACCTTTTGAATGGGTATGGGAGGAGCAGGGCCTAAATTATTTATAAATTAAATATAGCAATAAATATGAAATATTTATAAATTAATACAGCAATAAATATGAAAGATTTATAAATTAATACAGCAATAAATATGAAATAAAAAATGATGAAATTTTGCTTAACCCTTTTAACCTGGACTTTATTCTCCAAAGTTTTAGGGTCGGTTTTTAACAGGGTATCTGTCTAGTCATCTAAGTTCCTTTTGCACTTAACACAGCTCTAACTTGTGATGAGAGTGACTTCTAAGCCTCTCCTTATTCTGGTGTGAAATATAGGTCATTTGGTAACCTTTTCTTTTTTATCCTCAATAAAATCCTAGCAATGTGAGCTTGAGCAAATTATCTTCATGTTTTTATTTTTACGGAAAGCCATGCTTTTGGAACAGAATGAGGTCTATGTGAAAGAGGTTAGGTTTCATGAGTCTGATCAGAAGTTACATTATAAACCATCTTTCCTATGAGTTTATGTTTATATATTTTTCCTCCAGGCCTGTTACCTGTCACCCATACAGTGTGCCACATATTTTTCCTTAAAAAATAAAATGCCCTCCACTCTTGTCATGGATGAGTACTGGTCTTTCTGGGGGGGGAGGATCTTTCCTTAATTCTATTTTTATCAGCCCCTCTGAGCTTAGCAAGTCCATAGTCTCGGAAGAGCCACGCTTTGTCTGTGTTTTGTAGGTAGGCATATCTTGAGGGTTTTTTTTTTTTTTAAGTACAAAGTTTCTCTAAAGTTTTTAGTGCTATGAAACCTAGAAACCTAGGCAAGAGGAATGCAGATTCATCAAGTCACAAATAAGCTTCCTGCTCCCAGGGTATCCGTCGCAATTAAGAAAGTCCTTGGAGCATTAGTTAGGGTGGAATGGGAAAAGGGTTTTTCTGTCATTAGAGGCAGTGTCGCCTGGTGGTCTGAGCGGAGGAGTGGGAGTCAGGAACTCAGCGATCTAACCGGGGCTCTGCGAGGCCCTGCGCGGCTTCAGGCAAATCTCTCGGTCTCGGGAGGACGGGCTCACCTACTTTGAATGTCCCAACTGAAGAGCTCCTTACCCAGGGCCAGGACATACACAGCAGGAAGCCTGATTCCTCGTCTGCAAAATGAGAATATTAATACTTGCCTAAATAACAGATTAACCAATTAGTGATTGTTAAGTGCTCTGCTGATAGAAAGCAGCAGGAGAAGAAAGGCGAAAGTGAAACAGATACACAGTTTTATTATTAGAGGGGTTGTACTCAGCTGTGGATTTTTGTGCGCTCATGGGATTGAGGGCCCGGACAGTGCAAGGGGCGGCTGTTGACAGACTGGACCTCACCTTTATTACCCTCACGGAGAAGGTAGCCTTGTGGGCAGATGAAGCTGACTGTACCCTGCAGGTCTGCATGAAACTGTGAATAAATGGAATGGGGAGGAAAGCACATTTCGTCCTTGAATCAATGAATTTCCGGGAAACATACAAATAACTGAGAGTTTTTCAGCTTTAACTCCTCTGTTTAAATATCTTTCAGAAAAGACTATTCAGTCAACTTGGAAATTCTCATATCCATCTGTTACAGTGACCAGTTTGCAGTGTGTGTGTGTGTACGTGTGTGTGCACGTGTGTGTGTGTGTGTGTGTGTGTGTGTGTATCATTAAACATAAATAAACTGTTGATGATAGCTCACATTTTCAGCGGGAAAGTTCTTTCATCCAAAGTTTTCCTTTGCTTGAAAGTCATTGCACATGGGAAGGGAATAGCCATCCACATGTTTTTAATTGCGTATAGTTTTAGATTGGCCTAAAGAAAATATTAAAGTTAATTCATTTATGCAAATAGAAGAATGGAACATTTTCATTCCCTGAATTTAGAATACTTCGTATTTTGTGTCTAACACCTATATGAGAATATTCAGTAAATCATTTGGGGACGATATT